AGCTGTTACAGGCAATGCTGCAGGACGCGCGTCGCGCGGGCAAAACAGAAGGAAGCGGCGTTGGCACAAAAGAGCGGGACTGGCGATAGGCAACAACGGCAGCAGCAGACCTGGCGAAGAGAGGGAGCGCGGGGGCGCCACACACGCCGCCAGGCACGAGATGTTCTCCCCACGCCTCCCTCCCCCCTCTCAGATGGCAGGACGCAACCCCCAAACAGAGCACAGACAAGCGAAGCACGCGCAACAGGAAGATATGCAGGCGAAAGGAAATACGCCTGCGACGCCCGCACCCGAGGGCTGTAAGTTCCAACCAGAGCACACGTCGTCTTCCCGCTGCGTCACTGGCACGCACCCAGAATACTTCATCCCCCCCCCATTCTTTCGTTTTACGTTTTAATTCCGTTGTCCGTGCCTTTCTCTCCCTCCCACAGAAGACCTCCTCCGCACGCTAGACATAACAGAACTTACACATTACCCATCTTGTCTGAAAAACACACACAGCATAGCGCGAAAATTGCAAACCCATTTTCTTTTACTTAACGTCCCTGCCTTTTCCCCAAAAGCATCCTCCCGTCTACGACCAAGCTGGGAAGCCAAACTTGGCGTGCGACCCAAGCTCCTCCTCGATGCGGAGCAGCTGGTTCATCTTCGCAGTACGCTCACCACGGCACGGCGCGCCCGTCTTGATCTGACCAGAGCCGAGGCCCACAACAAGGTCCGCGATGTACGTGTCCTCCGTCTCGCCACTGCGGTGCGACACCATCACCGACCAGCCGTTCGCCATGCAGAGCTTGGAGGCTTCGATGGCCTCCGTGATGGTGCCAATCTGGTTAATCTTGAGCAGCAGCGAGTTGCACGCCTTCTTCTCGATAGCCGTCTTGATGCGTGCCACGTTCGTCACAGTCAAGTCGTCGCCGACAACCTGAGCCTTGCCCTTGAGAACTTCAGTGAGTCCGGCAAAGCCCTCAAAGTCGTCCTGGTCGTACGGGTCCTCGATGCTCACAATGGGGTACTCGCCCACCCACTTGGCGTACGTCTCGCCCAGCTGCTTTGCCGTCACCCAGGTGGCCTCGGAGCTCTTGAAGGTCAGGTTGTACTGCTTCTTGCTCTCGTCGTACGTCTCGCTGGCAGCGCAGTCCATGCAGATGGCGAA